TTCTAAAACAATTTTTAAAAAAATACGTCAAAAAAATAAACATGACATTTTAAATAAAAAAATACCTAAATTTATAATAAATAACATCATTTTATCAAAATTATAAGTTTTATTTAACAATATTCTTTAACAACTATGTCAATCGATGCCAAGCGCGATGAATATCGCAAATACCTTGAAAGAACTGGAGCAATGGACGCCCTTACTAAGGTATGATGTTAACTAATTATTATATTTACTTGCATATGTCCAACCTTTTAGGTTAAAAAGACACTCACAATTAATAGCAATTTATCTAGCTTATTATTTTTTCAGCAATAAACCTCATTAATTGTATACAATATTACATATATTATTCCACAGCCACGTAGCACACGATTTGCTCATATGGTTTCAAGACACATTTTAGGCTATTTATAGTTATACTCTGACGATGATAAGGTAACATAATTATCAAAACAAATAGCGTGTTTCATCACTAAAGTTATGTACGTCATCACCTTGTTTATAAATATTCTTATATAAATATTGAATATATGAATTAAGGATAATATAAAGGACTCTGATGGGTAATTTTCTTAATAGTACCAAATAGTGAACGTATCGAACTCTAAAATTTGCATCTAAATAAATTATTAACTTCCCGTAGGGTAGTTATAGTAATGGGCCGAAAATTTCGGCATACCTCAGAAAAAATGGATGTGTGCGTGTGTGTGTGTGTGTGTGTGTGCGTGTGTGTGTTTTGTATGTCCGCATTTTTCGTCCACGTTTTCGAGCGCACGGATCAACCGATTTGAATGGTTTGAAAAACATTCGATTCCTATTAATAGAGAGATGTGCTGATTAGTTTGTGGCAAAGGCAGGTCCAGCCGTAACGGAGATATGGAGCAGAGTGCAGAAAATAGAAATCAAGTTTTTGAGGGAACGGATCATCTGATTTGTATGATCCAAAAAGCATTCAGTTCGTAATGATGGGGAAAAGTGGTTATTGGTTTTTGGCAAATGTAGGCCCAGCGGTTTCGGAGATACAAGGCTAAATGTTAAAAAATGGCAGTTTTTGAGAGAACTAAGCGTCCGATTTAAATGATTCAAAGAACTTTTTGCTTATTTCAACAAAATAATTGCTTTTGGAAAAAAAATTTGTTTCTAATTTTTTTCAAAAAATTACGCAGGCTAAGCACAGTATAAACGCCACTCTGGTACAAATGTTTAGCCAAGTGCGTTTAGACTGTTTATGTTCTGGAGCACTTTTTCAATTTTGTGAAAACTCTTGAAAAATGTGAAAATGCCGCCAAGCTAAGCACATTATACCGAATGCGTTTAGACTGTAACTATACGGCAACTATTCTTTTTTTGAAATTGAATTCAGAATGAAATGACGGTTGTTAATGTTCTGGAGATAAATTGATTTATGATTTACATTTGATTTGCTCAGATATAACAAGATAGCAAAAATAATGAAAGTTACAGTATTTGTAATAATATATTTGAAAACGTTTAAAATTTCTCGAATATTTCATTACAGTACGGGAAGTTCCAGCAATTTGCATTAAGGCACGACGCCATACACCACTAGTTTATATTCTTATTAAACGTTCACTTTTCAGGTCTTGGTCGCGCTATACGAAGAATCCGAAAAACCGGAAGACTCTGTGGGGTATATAAAAAGAAATCTAGGTGGATTTAGTGAGGAGGCAGATCTTGTCGCACAGTTGGAAAAAGCCAATGCAAGAATAAAAGAATTAGAAGAACAACTAGCAGGTGCAGGTGGATCAACGCCGACTCCAATAATAACAGAACCAGAAGAAGCACCTGCGGAACAACCTGCTCCGGAACCAGAGCCGGAAGCTCCAGCAGAACCACCTGCGGAAGAAGCCCCTCCAGCAGAATAGATTATTTATATTTCATAGATCTGTATCATTCATCTTATTCAAATAAACATATTTTGATTTGACATTTTTTGTAATACAAACATATAATCAAGTTCACCGGTGATAGAAGGACAATACACTTGAAAATCCATTCCTAAAAATATTGAAATTTACGATTTTTCGACTCGCGATTTCGTTGAGCTACAACTGATTCATTACAAATGGATCAGGATTTAAAAAATATATTCAATAAAGTTGGTATAATTTTTATAATTCAAAGGTACTTTACCTATCAGCATCTTATGAGTTAATAATTCATAATAAATTTTCAAAATGCTTGGTTTAGTCCAAAATTTTAGTAAATACATATATTTAGTTCTGTCATAAAATTTTTGCTTCTATTTGATTGGATTCATTTTATGAATGATGTTTTATCGTGATTAAGAGAATAAACTTCTTATTACATTTTTTTTAAGTTTTATGACTTTCGCTATTTGTTCAAATTTGCCGCTAAAATTTCTTTGAAACATTTTACGAAGTGAAGTATAATCAAGTACGACGCAATGATATTAAAATGTCAAATATTTGAGGTTAAGAAGCGCATGTAAACAAAATTAACTTAAAATAGTTAACATTAACATGAAAACGACATACACACAGAAAAGTTCTATCTAAATAACTTGTTTTATTTTTATTTAACTCAAATTTATTCATAATGGAAGCAGTTGAAATGAATCAAGATTTAGCCAAATATTTATTAACTGAAGGAGCATCACTGGTTCTCTTCAATGTCCCTTCAGGAACTGAATTCGGTATAGACATGAAATCCTGGAATACTGGCGATCAATTTAAGGGAATTAAAATGATTCCACCAGGCTTACATTATGTATTCTATAGTTCAGTAAGTGAATCAACTGGAGATACTGGCCACCGAGTGGGGTTTCTGCATGATTTCAAATCTAAAGAAATGGTTATTAAATTTTGGGATAACGAACTTGAAGAACTCACTGACAAGAGTTTATCTGATGAAGAAATTAATCGTATAAAAAATAATCTTTTAGAACTAGATAGGTATTTAGGTCCATATCCTTTTGAGATATATGATATGTGGAAAGACTTGACGGACAACTTAACATCAGAACAAGCAATAAACTTGTCACCTAGTTGTGGCTATATAAAGTCAGCTTTAGAACTTCAGTCATGTAATGATAATGATAGGCCCAAAGGTGCTCAAAATACTAGATCACATAGAAAACTTAATTGGGATATATCTGACGAAGAAGGTTTTTTACCAAATTTGCATCCTTTACCTGGAACAGCACCTAGATTATCAACTTTACCACCTAGATGTCCAGAAAATGCTAAACCTGAAGAGATTACTAAATATTTTTTGGATTCAACACATTCTCTAGAATTATTACTTAGAAGTTATGATAGGTAATAAATATGAATTTTGGCATTTCATATACATATACATTTTTTTTGCTAGCTATTGCTTTTTTCCTTTTTGTCGAAGATGAGAACTTTTAAAATTATATATTAACAATCTAATGAATTATATTAAGTTACGATATATTACAACATACAAATCAAATAAGATGCTTGTGTGAGATAGAAGCTTTAAATTATATATACACATATGTGTATTAGATTTATACACAGCAACACCATGCTTAACCTAGGGGTAGCGTTTCATCAAAGTAGAGCATAAATGTTAAACCGGCACTTGCTGCTTATGTATATTTTTATATAATCTTATTTATTGCATTATAAGAGTCTAATGATTTGGCTCAGCATCTATAATATGTTTGGGCATTGAAATTCATTTTTATGTTGTTTTTCAGGCCAACAGATGTAATTGGTGAATTACAATTTAGTTTTGTTATATTTCTAATTGGCCATAGTGTGGAAGGATTTCACCATTGGAAAAAGTTACTCAACATATTATGCACTTCTGAATTGGCATTGAAATTACACACTTCTATGTATCTCCAGTTTCTAAAAACATTGCATACACATATACTGCAAGTTCCAAATGAATTTTTAATTGATATAGTGGATGGAAACAATTTTCTTTATGTTAAAAGTAGACAGTTATTTAAAAACATATATTCTAGTGGTCTAACAGTATTGATTAAAAGAGTTGATAAAATGATGGAAGATTTTACAGAAAAGTTTACTTGGAATTTTGAGGATCTTTGGACGAGGACCAAGAAGATTTGCCTGTTGTAGTGGAGTTGGATGACTAAGGTAATTTTTAGGAGAAACATTGAGGGTTACTTTTTCAGTTTTATTGAACCAATATGATAATTTAAATAAACATATGCTTTAATTTGTTATATACAATATGAACTAAACTATTTTATAAAACTCTACTTTATATACCATTCTTAAATTCTTAATTACTCTGCTTCTTCACATTTGCCTGTTCACAATATTTTAAAGCAATGTTTGTCTAGAACGGAAGGTATATGAACTACTAATTATAATAGAATATTATTTATAAACATGTTAAATATTACATATAGAAATATAGAATTAACTAACATATACCACATATGTTATATTTCTTGCTTTTGAAAGATGTTGGTATAGTAATGAGAGGTATTGTCCTAATTTTTTGGACTTAAATGCTTAGTTTGAATCTGAAAATATATAATTTTAAGGTAGTGATACATATTTTATTGAAAATAATTATTTTTATACCTGGCTCAAGTCATGTCCGAGCTCGTCTCTTGCAGCATTGATTAATTCTGGATGTTCTACCAGTGTATCAGATAAAGCTGCTAGCAACACATCTATAAATTTGATAATATATAATTAACAATTATGATATAAAATATGTATTTCATAATCTAATTCAACAGTCTTAATGAACAAATCTACAGAAAATTAAATGTGATTTTAATTAAATTTGATTATATGTAGTATACACAATGCACATACATTATACTTGTGTAAATATAGATTTATATATATTATCGTATAGTATATTATTATCACCTAAAATTTTTTTCTGGAGTGTTTTTGGTATACGTCCATGGGCTCCTTCAGAATCTAAAAATGTTGTTAGCCTTTCTAAAGCTTCGCCTGCATGACCTGAGCCATGTGTTAGTGATTCGGTAAACATCACCTGCAATTCATTTTAACCAACGTGTTACCATCATAACAATTAATGTAATTTACGTTTAGATTTACCTTAGCTAATTGATAAATAACTTCTTCTAATGAATATTCTGTATACAAAAAGTCTGCCAGTCTTAATCTACCTGCAATCTCCTCATAGTCAGCCAAATTAGTTTCTGAAGTTTTTGATACATATGAATTTGCATATTATAAAAAATACTTGATTTGAAAAGAACATACCTTTGATGTTATTAGCGGATTTTTCTAAATAATCAAGTTTATTCATTTTGTCTACTTTTGATTTCTTATATCCAGTTCTCATGATGTTAAGTGAATTTTCTGGTTTGTCATCATCATGCTCTTCTTTTAATTTATTTTGTAGATTGGTATACATAGGGTTTAAGGCAGGCTGGGTTGGCTTTATGTGCGGGCTCTGTATAAAATAATTTATAGCTTTTATGTTCAGAACAAACTAGTTATTAATAGAAGAATTTAAACAATCTTAATGAGATATCATAACATTCTCTTTTTTAGAGAAATTTTATAGAACAGTGTAATTATTAAATTATAATTATTAAATAACATAATCACATGTGAAAATATTACAAGAACAGATTATACATACCACAATTGCTTCCTTCAATGTTAAGTCACTAGGTGTATCTGCATCTCTGGTCACATCACGAAGAAGTCCTGATTTAGTGTCATAACGATTTTGAAGATATTCAATTCCAATTCTAATATCGCGTAAAAAGTTTATTGCTTCTTCTCGTGACATCTGAAAATAAAGGAATTTTTTAGGCTTAATTGAATTGCTGAAAAATGATAAAACATTGTCAAAATGAAAAAAACGTGTCGGGACTGTTCACATCTGTCCACTACCTGCTGCTCTTCACAGCATTTTTTACAGCTGTAAACTTTTATATTTTAATTTGTTATTTAACTATAACGTTATTAAATTAAAAGATCTAACGATTTGGCTCAATTACACTTTTTCTTTGCGTTTTTATTTAAAATTTACAAATACTAACCAATCGATTTTGTATGAATTCTTGTATGGCTTTAGCAACACCAGCTTCATCCCCCGTCCAAAATACATATTGAGCCATGTCTAAGGGAGAATATTGTCCAGAGTTGTACCATTGGTGATTCTAAAACAACAATTTTAATATTATTTTTAAAAAGATTACTAATAAATAAACTTTTGTGATCATATCAAATATTTTTTTATCACACTTATAATTACTTAATTGTTTAATGCTTTTATTCTTAGTTTTATGGTTGTCGTATTTTTAAGACTGGTTTTAATAAGATCATGACAAGTTGCTGCAAAAAAACACTTGCCGTAGGCCTATAATATTTTGCGATCTTTTTTTAGACAATGAACATTATTGATATGCAAAGTTTCATTCCAAAAAAAAAATTCACATCTGAATTACAAAGAAACGACTAGGCCTGTCTTTACCAAAAACTAATCTGCGTGGTTACCAACTGATGTCTTTCGAACTTTTGAATTTTCAAAATCGGTTCGGATTTTTTAGAGAAA